ACAGATGATTTAAGTTTTTTTTCCGAGAAAACTATGATTTTGGAATATATTTTACATCGCCGATTGCCAGATGGAAGACTACTCGAAACCCGTGAGGCATGAAACATGAGCAACGTTTTCTTGTTATGGGTATCAAACAAGAAATATTCTACTGTATCGTTCTTTTGGCACGTTCTTGCAATACAGCGAGTCCTTAATTAAAAATACAATTCTCAAACTATTATTGAATATTTAAATTATCTATACATGTATAGGGATATCATTCTCAGGATGCAAAAAACGCAACGATGTCGATCTGTGAAAAATCACACTTGTATAGAGTATAGAGCAAATAAACCGCAGAAGGCAGTGTGTGCGACAGATCCAAGATGGCGGGGACTAAGATCAATCTCTACCTTGAAATAAATGTGAGGGAACTGGGTTGAATGCTGTTATTAATCATTTGTTTGTAAAAAAGAAACAGAAGTAAAAATGAAATACCACCTAAATATACTAACTTTGCAACATTTGAAACCGTTTTGTAAACAAAATAACATATGGAAACTTAAGGCATTACAAAAAAAATTATTAGCACAAAACCTTCAAACGTGGTGGGCGGATCATAAATTATAGGGCAAAATGTCATCGGAATGTTTCAGCAAATGAGCTAAGTGATTTCCAAAACAACAGCTGTAGCGTATTTATTACCTATTACAAACATGTAAAAATAATATGTTGAATAAAACCGAGAACAAAACTTATAACCTTGGTGATATGAAAGCTCATTTACTTAGAATAGGTTTCATGTAACTCTGCCAGAGTAACTAAAAGTAATATTGGCGCAAGAAAAACTCTTTCCAATAAAGCTATTGCTTTGCATGAACTGTTGAAAAAAAGTTGGGAAGAGAGAACCACTCATCCCAAAAATATAGGGTTTTTACAGCAACGACTGTGTTATCAAACAGTCTTTGTAGCGCGAGTATGACAACCTCACGTTCAATAAATCCAAGCTCTTCTCCCATCAGAGAAAACCAAGGGCTACCTGCATGGGAAACATGTTAAGCAAAGCCACGGCCCAGGGGAAATTGTCTTTGGCCGTGGTTATTATAATTTGACTGTCTCAACCACTGCAAACAAAGATAACTTGAGGCCAACATTGTATGTACAAACTCTGGAACCTCGCTCCCCGATCATACTTTCTATTCGATTACCTCGTTATTACGCTCATTTTTTTGCCTAAAAATAATAATAAAAAAACATTTATTCAATCATGTATGGTGTACCGCATCGGTATCAGCTAGCGGGAATCGTACAACTTGTCTGCTCCGGCGGTCAAAGGCTTAGCTAACGAAAGACCGTACATAAACACGACTACCGTGGAAATGAAAAACGAAATGACAAAAGTCCAGAAAAAAAGACGATCTAAGGCCTTGCGAATCTGGCGCCAGGTCTCGCTCCAGTCTTCCTCTTCCACGTCCATGACAATGCTGCTGGGGCGAGTGAACAGTTGGCTACCGCTGCTCACTGACAGCCGGCTCATGTTAATAGTGCTTGTCTTTCGGTATCTCTCCTCAGCGCTGTTGTGTTTCTCTTCTTTGCCACTGTCGCAGTCGATCACAGCCACTTTAATCGGGGGTTCAATTTTTGAAGTGCATCTCGGTTTGGTGGCCCTCCGGCAACATCTGTAGATACTGTTTATGAACAGGAAACATTTGAGAAAAGCTGGGCGCTCCATGGTAGCGTGATGCGCCTTGAGTACGACAATGGTAGCGGTCAGCGCCAACCCTATTTCTATTATGATTATTATGTACTAGACACCGATGAGTGGTAGCGCGTCCGACTGTTGTGGAAGAGCTTCTGTCACGATTAGGAGATATGCGCTTACAGAGAGAAGGATTGTACAGCTGAAGCCGATTCGTTCGCCACTTTCTGCAGGGATGAAGAAGCTGACGAGGATCAGGACTCCGATTAGCATGCATGGCACCATGGAGAAGACAAGAAAATGAAGGGGCTTGCGGCGGATGATAAAGCTTAGGTGAATCTCGATGAATGGATGATAACTGCCTCTGGGAAGATTTTCCTTCCTTGTCACTTGTATCATTCATTTGGATTGACCAGCGCCCATTTTTCTCCGTTTGTTCTGTAGGTATAGTGAGAGATTATCACTTCAGCACATAGAAAACATTTAAACTATCCCTCTGCTACCGTTTACCTAACATGGAAAGTTTGAATTAAACGTTGTAGAGGGAGGGAAAGGGTAGACATGTTTGAAACTATGCACATGGAGGGGAAAGGGGCGAATATAAAAAAATTGGGTTTTTTTTTTTTAAAAAAGGATAAAACAAAAAGGAAGAAAAGAAGAAAACATGTCTAGGAGGGGCTAAATGACATGGTTATGTTTATTTTTCGTCTAAGGCAAGGCAAACAGAAGCTGGAACGTAAACACAATTAAGAAAATTCTGGAGATTAATTGTTTAGAAGTCTCCTACGTTTCCTGCTTCTCGCTGAAATTATCAGGAAGGGAGATGCAAGACCAAAATCAGTGGACTTCAAAATTTTAACAACTATTTTGATATTTTAACAAATAGAGCCATAGCATTGATTTTGTACATACCAAATTGTTTGTCCACATCGTTGTCGTCGCCTTTGCCTACTCGTGTTTCTTCTGTTTCAATATCCATAAGCGTCTTGTCCGACGTTAAGGAGCCAAAAATCATGTCACAACGATGTTCATCGTAAGGGAAATACGTCACATCCAAAACGCACGTGCTTTTGAAGGACACGGGTGATATCCATTCACTTGAGCCGTTGTGGTAAATAATTATCCATGTCTTGAATTTCTCTGTGTAGCCTGCTTGAGCGACATTATCATCTGCGCTGATCAATCAGTCAATCAATCAATCAATCAAGCAAGCAAGCAAGCAAGCAAGGAAATAAGGAAGCAATAAATCAATCAATCAATCAGTCAGTCAATCAAGTAAGCAGGCAACCAATAAACAAATAGAAATAAGGATGAAAGGAAGAAAGAGAAACAATGAACGAACGAACGAACGAACAGGAAAAGGAACAAACGAGGGAACAAACGAAAGATCGAACAAACGAGCGAACGAACGAAGGAACGAACTAACGAACGAACAATAAAATGGTTTGTATACTTCATCATGATTGGCTGAGAGCAGGCCACTTTATAGCTAATTTTTAATTTGCACTGCAGTGCAGTGGAATGGTGTTGTCTGTTTTCGTATATCGGCTTGGTATCGGAGTATTACATAATAACATAATGATAAGCCCAATACATAATTTCTTATGTGTTTATAAAACGGGATAGTGCTTTCAATTCCCTTGCAACATTGTAGATATACTATAGTAGTCGAAGAAGGAACAGTTATTGTGGCCACACCAGTCCCGGCACGTTGACTTTCTTGTTTTGTAGTACAATATCTGGTGCCCAGATTTCTTGAGGACTTACGAGAATTTTCTCCAAACCACCAAACTTACTGGGTTCCCACATTAGGAAAGAATTATTCCAGCGCTATCTAAGGAAAGAAGAAATATCAGTAAGCAAATAGATACCAGCAACGACAACAATAAAATGACAATTACTATAATATACTAATTAATTTCATGACACTATGAATACTTATTAATAATAGTAATATGACTGAGTGGAGTCCAATTCGGTCTTTAATCATACGAGTGATTCACAAAATCGGACGACCGCGAAGCAGGAGTCCGACTTGTTAATCACGAGTATGATTACAGAGTGAATTGGACGACACGATGTCCTGTTACCAATTAAATTCATAACCATTACAATTTCCCACAAAAGTAAAAGTCCAATGAAAAAGAGCTTTTAATCGTCATTTTTAAAATCATAATTAAAAATATGGAGAATAGCTTGCAAAATGGCTGTTAAGTTTCTTTCAAAACAGTCACTGAAGACTAAACCACAATTTTACAAAGTCAGTCTTTTGAATTGGTTACTGTCATTGTAATCAATGTTTTGATTGGTGGATTTAGTGGGGAGGACTTAAAATGATTAGCTCATATGCATTGTTACACACGCTGGTTACAATACTTATACAGCTACTTACACTACTTACAAGACTAATACATAAACTTGCAGAGTTTCCCGCTAGTCAACCAGGTACCAGGACAGGAAACCCGCTGACCGGGGACTCACGCGCTCGGCCAAACGAGTCGGTCATGTTTGTGTTTGGAACACTGCGAACGAACTAAAGGACTTGCTCGTTATTTCTCATCTTACGGAGTTCTTGTAAGTGTCTTCGCTTCACTAGCTAAGTTTGCTTGTAATGTTTTGTCATTTTTGCGTTCCTGTTCGATTGTAGAATGGTTTCTTCATTGTTGGCATTAAAGTGAATTTTGCTCATCGAGAAGGCTGTTTCTTCAATACCTACATTATTTATAATACTTCTTATTCAATATGATTAATTCAGTCACTTAAATTACAATACTAAGACTTACACTACTTATATTACTTACAATGCAGTACATACACTACTTACAATACAATACGATCGCTTCGGCTACTAACAATATTAATGCTTACACTACTTACAGCACAGTACGATAACTCCTGTTGCTTACAATACTAATTAACACTCTTTACACCGCAATACGATTACTAACGTCACTTGCAATGTAATTCGATTGGCTGATGTAACTGTCCAATTACAACCAACTGTCCGATTACAGTTTGCAGATTAATTAGAGCAAAATACAGGAGTTTATACACCAATCACATTTGAGGAAATTGTAATTGTTGTCATTATTTGTATAAATCTACTAACGAATCACGAATATCGTTCTCTTATAGACCTTTTCGGAGATCTGGCGGTCATTTTGAATTCTATTGTTTCAAACACCAACTATGGGATGCTTAGGGGGCAAATTAGTATGTTTTTGCGCTCTGAGCATTCCATAATAGCTATCTGCAGCAATAGAATTCAAAATGGCCGCCATATCAACGAAAAGGCCCACTGGCTACGCTACACACTGTCTATTCTGTCGTAGATAGTGAGCAGTCTAGAAGTGTAGTACGGCTGTTAACGAAATGGCGGCAAAGATTTCGATAAAGGTTTTTTTCGACTATAAGATTTATTTTAAAACTATTAGATTATTTGCGCTCGATTTCTTTGCGCGATAGAAATCTCGAGTTCGTAATCTCGTTATTTAAAAATTGGTAATATTCAATAAAATTTAAGTGGTGAAATTAATGACAAAACGATGTCGATATTCTCCATAAATTAAACTACCCTTTTTTTTTTTAACTTAAGCTTCAATCACAGCAACCGCCACATACCTGTGTGATGAATGTATCTGTCGAAACAACCTGACCTATCCTGTGCACAAAATTCATACAAATGTAATGAGTTACATCAAGGTTATTGCCACGTGTTTGCTCGCAAGTAAGAAAACAATATGGTGACGAAAATGAGGAAAGCACCCTTCGAAAACTTTATTGTACTTCGGTAAGACGTCAACAAATGGAAAAGGTATTATTGCAAAGTCTTTACAATTTTGCTTTTTTTTTGGAACCTTGCTCTATCGAAATCAAGCCCATTCCTTCAGGATTTAATGCGCCCTTCACATCCCTGACACAAACAGTCAACTCTCGCCTTGAGGACTTCCCGCTATTACGGACGCTCGCTAATACGGACAAAATCCAGATCCCGGCGAAAGCTATAGAGGTTTGGCTGGAAATGACTTCCGCTATTACGGACTCTCGCTATTACGGAATTACGGACACTTCCGTGGTACTAAAATGACGATTTTATTGTTTTGACTCTCGATAAAGCGGACACCACGTACTTCTCATATAACATAATTATGTAAAATTACAGTCTGCTTTTCATCATTTGTCAAAAATACAGTTCAAATGGCTTCTGGAATGTTTATTTTCACATTGTTTCTTTTTTCGTGTGCACAACAGTCCTTGCGTGCTCACTTGAGCGTACGTTCAGTGTGCAGTGTTAAGGGCACTTTTTATCTCCCACCCCGCTATTACGGACTCTGGCTATTACGGACACTAAACGACGCCCCCGAGTGTGTCCACTATAACTAGAGTTGCCCGTATTATGCCTCTACACACTTTGCCAGTAGATTTCTAATCAAATAACTGCTCGCACTCTGTCAGTTTGCAACAGTGCTGCAAGTCCATACATGAGCCCGATTCCTCTTAAAACGCGTCAAAGGAAGTCTCTTCCCAGGAATAATTAACAATTATTCACCAAAGTGGAGGTGAATAGTACTTGCTAATCACCTCCGAGTTAACCAATCAGAGCGCGCGAAAAGCACTATTCACTTGTGTGTTATATACTAATCAATAATATTATTATTCACGGTAAGCAGAACTCCCCCGGGAGTAGGACTGACGACATCTACAACTGATTTCAGCTCCACCTTAAAATTCACTTTGACGGCTTCGGATGAGTCGAGAACTGGCCGAACCATCGTATCAATTGGAGTCCCTGAGGAAAACTGTTCTTGACGAGGTAGGTGTTCGTTTGAAACTTGTATTCTTGGCCATGAGACCGCTGCGGTAAATTCCATGTGGG